TTTAGTTAATTAGAATCATAAAATCGTAGAATCATAGAACACTAGAACTGGAAGGGACCTTGACAGGTCACTGAGTCCAGTCCGCTGCCCTCACAGCAGGACCAAGCACTGTCTATATCATCATTGACAGGTGTCTGTCTAACCTACTCTTAAATCTCTCCAGGGGTAGAGATTCCACAACATCCCTAGGCAATTTATTCTAGTGTTTTACCACCCTGACGGGCAGGAAGTTTTTCCTGATGTCCAACCTAAACCTCCCTTGCTGCAGTTTAAGCCCACTGCTTCTTGTCCTATACTCAGAGACCAAGGAGAACAATTTTTCTCCCTCCTCCTTGTGATACCTTTTTAGATACTTGAAAGCTGCTATTATGTCCCCTCTGTCTTCTCCTTTCCAAACTAAACAAGCCCAATTCTTTCATTCTTTCCTTATAGCTCATGTTCTCTAGACCTTTAATCATTCTTGTTGCTCTTCTCTGGACCTTCTCCAATTTCTCCACCTCTTTCTTAAAATGTGGTGCCTAGAACTGGACACAGTACTCCAAGTGAGGCCTAATTAGTACAGAGTAGAGCGGAAGAATGACTTCTCGTGTCTTGCTCACAACACTCCTGTTAATGCATCCCAGAATCATGTTTGCTTTTTTTGCAGTTGTTTTACACGCACTTTGAGGGAAAGAATATGTGGGGATTGGGACTGCCTGATCACATCCCCTGACTCACATGAGGTGTCCCAGAGAAATAAATGGAGCTGCACACCTGTAAGAATTGTAGGAACAAAGTCTGGTTTGTTTGCAAAAGCGGTGGTGATGGGGAACTTCAAATATCCAGACATATGTTAAGAAACTAACACAGCAGGGCACAGATTTTCCAACAAGTTCTTGGACTGCATTGGAGGCAATTTTTATTTCAGAAGGTTGAGAAACCTAGTGGGGGGAAGCTGTTCTTGATTTGATTTTAACAAATAGGGAGGAACTGGTTGAAAATTTGAAAGTGGAAGGCAGCTTGGGAGAAAGTGACCATAAAATCATAGCGTTCATGATTCTAAGGAATGATAGAAGAGAGAACAGCAAAATAGAGACATTTCAGGAGGGCAGATTTTAGTAAACTCAGAGCCGGTAGGCAAGGTCCCATGGGAAGCAAGATTAGGAGGAAAAACAACGGAAGAGAGTTGGCAGTTTTTAAAGGGACTTTATTAAGGGCCCAAAAGCAAATTATTCCACTGAATAAGAAAGATAAAAAGTATGGCAGGGAGACCACCTTGGATCCAACCAGGAGATTTTTACATGATCTAAAAATAAAAAAAAAAATTGTATAAAAAGTGGAAACTAGATCAAGTTACAAAGGATGGATATTAGCAAACAACACAGATATGCAGGGTCAAGATTAGAAAGGCAAAGGCACAAAATGAGCTAAATCTAGCTAGCGTCATAAAGAGTAACAAGAAGATATTCTACAAGTATATTAGGAGCAAGAGGAAGACCAAGGACAGGGTAGGCCCATTGCTCAGTGAGAAGGGAGAAACAATAACAGGAAACATGGAAATGGCAGAGGTACTTAATGACTTATTTGTTTCAGTTTTTGTCAGAAGATGGATGGTGACGGGATTCCTAACATAGTGAATACTAGTGGAAATAGGGTAGGTTTAGAAGTTAAAATAAAAGAACGAGTTAAAAATTACTTAGAAAAATTAGATGTCTGCATGTCACCAGGGCCTGATGAAATGCATCCTAGAATACTCAAGGAGCTGATAGAGGAGGTATCTCAGCCTTTAGCTATTATCTTTGAAAAACTGTGGAAGTTGGAAGAGATTCCAGAAGACTGGAAAAGGGCAATATAGTGCCCATCTATAAAAAGGGAAATAAGAACAACCCAGGAAACTACAGACCAGTCAGTTTAACTTCTGTGCCAGGAAAGATAATGAAGCAGGTAATTATGGAATTCATCTGCAAATATCTGGAAAAAAATAAGGTGATAGGTAACAGCCAGCATGGATTTGTAAAGAATAAATCGTGTCAAACCAATCTGATAGCTTTCTTTGATAGGATAACGAGTCTTGTGGATAAGGGAGAAGCGGTGGATGTGGTATACCTAGTCTTTAGTAAGGCATTTGATACGGTCTCGCATGATATTCTTATCAATAAACTAGGCAAATACAACTTAGATGGGGCTACTATAAGGTGGGTGCATAACTGGCTGGATAACCGTATTCAGAGAGTAGTTATTAATGGTTCTCAATCCTGCTGGAAAGGTATAACAAGTGGGGTTCTGCAGGGATCTGTTTTGGGACAGGCTCTCTTCAATATCTTCAACGATTTAGATATTGGCATTGAAAGTACGCTTATTAAGTTTGCAGATGATACCAAGCTGGGAGGGGTTGCAACTGCTTTGGAGGATAGGGTCATAATTCAAAATGATCTGGACAAATTGGAGAATGGTCTGAGGTAAATAGGATGAAGTTTAATAAAGACAAATGCAAAGTGCTCCACTTAGGAAGGAACAATCAATTTCACATATACAGAATGGGAGGCGACTGTCCAGGAAGGAGTACGGCAGAAAGGGATCTAGGGGTTATAGTGGACTACCAGCTAAATATGCGTCAACAGTGTGATGCTGTTGCAAAAAAAGCAAACATGATTTTGGGATGCATTAACAGGTGTGTTGTGAGCAAGATGCGAGAAGTCATTCTTCTCCTCTACTCTGCACTGGTTAGGCCTCAGTTGGAGAATTGTGTCCAGTTCTGGGCACCACATTTCAAGAAAGATGTGGAGAAATTGGAGAGGGTCCAGAGAAGAGCAACAAGAATGATTAAAAGTCTAGAGAACATGACCTATGAAGGAAGGCTGAAAGAATTGGGTTTGTTTAGTTTGGAAAAGAGAAGACTGAGGGGGGACATGATAGTGGTTTTCAGGTATCTAAAAGGGTGTCATAAGGAGGAGGGAGAAAACTTGTTCACCTTGGCCTCTGAGGATAGAACAAGAAGCAATGGGCCTAAATTGCAGCAAGGTTTAGGTTGGACGTTAGGAAAAAGTTCCGAACTGTGAGGGTGGTTAAACACTGGAATAAATTGCCTAGGGAGGTTGTGGAATCTCCATCCCTGGAGAGGTTTAAAAGCAGGTTAGACAGACACCTGTCAATGATGATGTAGACAGTACTTGGTCCTGCTCAGAGGGTAGCGGCCTGGACTCAATGACCTCTCAAGGTCCCTTCCAGTTCTAGTGTTCTATGATTCTATGAAAAGGGAGCAGCATTCAGTAGCATTCAGCACTTTCAATAAAATATATCATTGCCACTAAATTGGCATTATTTTCTAAACAAGGTTTTCCTCCGCTTTAGTGCTATTGTAATTAAGGGAGTAGCACTAGTGTATATGTGTTTGGTGTGTCACTCTGCTATCTGGCTAACAGCTGATAAATGTGGTTAAATCACATATATAATGCTCCCCCGCTATCAGCCATGTGGGAATCCTGTTTACTTTTTCTATACTTAAAAGTTTCAAGTGCAGCTTTAAACTTCAGAGAGTTGGGCACTTCAGAGAGTTCCATACAGTGCTGTTGTGTGTGATGTAGAGAATGGGCTTACAGAGGGAGTTTTTTAGGCTATCAATAAGGAAGAGCCTCTCATGTAGAAAACTCAGGTTCAACTCCCTGCTTTCTCAGACATTTCCTGTGTGACCTGGGGCAAGTCATCTCACTGGCCTGTTTCCCCTCGATACTATAGGAATAATAACAATGCCCTGATACACAGAGGAGTTGTGAGGCTAATACTGTATTAAAGATTGTGAGGCACTAGCATACTGTAGTGATGGGAACCCCGCTAAATGCCTACGCTAGATGGATATTACTGCTGCTCTCTTACCGATTAGCATTTCTTCTAGTTTTTTGAATGGGGGAAGAGTATTTAAAGATGAACTCAGATGTAATTGTCTGAGACCAATTATAGCTGGAAGGAGTGCGAGGACATGGAGTGACAGGCAGAAGGGTATAAAAACAGGCCTGAGATCAGAGCTTGTTGGCAAACATCTGACTCTGTTTTCAATCTGGTTTTGTTCTGAGAGCAGTAGGCGCTAGAATTCTCAACAGCACAATGGCCTGTTGGTTATTGTAAAAGGGTCACTCTTAGCTAGCACATTTCAACTACAGATCTCAGAGCACCTTACAAGTGAGAGCATTAACTACATTTTACAGACATGGAAACTGGGCACTGATGAGTGAAGAGACTTGACTGAGGTTAGACAGTCAATCAGTAGCTAAGCCTGATTTTAGGATTTCAGACCCAGCAGCGTTTTTTTAATTGAAGCTATTTAAAAAGATGAGTTCATGTTAAATCCAGTGACTCCAATTCAAAGGGATGCACTGCTCTGAAGAGGCGCTGGATTCCAAGCCATTAAAGTCAGTGGAAGTCTTTCCACTGACACTGTACTTTTGGTCAGGCCCTGTGAGAACAGTGCAGAGAACTGGGTCTTTGGTGAGAATAGTGACAGCTGGGATTCTTCACTGTTTCATTTCATACAAAAAAACAAACAGTCTATCAGCACCTCAAAGACTAACAAAACATGTAGATGGGATCAGGAGCTTTCGTGGGTGCAACCCACTTCATTCAGTTGCTCAGTTTCATCATGCTTCCCCTCCCCCCTATAACTGATTCCCCCTCATTCCTTCCCTACAGGAGAAGCCAAGACTCAAACAGACATCCATACTGCTGCAAGCAGATGCACATAGGAATCTGGGTGGGCTTTGCTCCAACCTCAATGGCTAAAACCCCAACTTTGGTAGCACTAGCCATTTGCCTGACTTGCCTCTTCTCAAGCGCCTGCAGTCAGACACCAAGGAACGTCAAGGAGAGCTCAGTTCCATTTAAGGTTCTACGCCAGGAGCCGGTTTACAGTCTTGTCCAATCGAGCTTGTTCCAGGATGCCAGAGCCGCCTCCAACCAGTCGGATGACACTCCCGAGAATGTCCCGTCACAGTTACCCCTCCCAACCACATGCATAAAGCCTGCTGAAATCAGACACATCTTCAAGTACATCAACACTATTGTGTCCTGCACCATCTTCATCGTGGGCATTATTGGCAACTCCACCCTGCTGAGGATCATTTACAAGAACAAATGCATGAGGAACGGGCCCAATGTCCTCATTGCGAGCTTGGCTCTTGGAGACCTTCTCTACATCCTCATAGCTCTTCCCATCAACATGTACAAGGTAGGCACCTTTGGGCACTAACAACTTTGCCCTTTGGGGAGGTGGCAAGGGGGCTTCCCACATTACAATGCTCAGTACTGCCATGAGAATACCTTGACAGATAACAATGATTTGAATGGCCAACACTCACCAAAGGGGAGTGATAAAGATATACAAGCAACTGTCAGAGAAACCCTGTGGTCCACCAGTGAAAGCCGTGGATTGGGACCCAAGAAACTTGGGCTCTCTTCTGAGGTCTCTACTATGGGCAGGCCACTACAGTCTCTGACCCTCCATTGGCCTTATCTAGCTCTAGAGGAAGTTCTTTGGGAGGGACTCTCTCTCCCTATAGACAGGGCCTATCACAATACAGCCATGGCCCAGGCCTGCAGATGTTATAGCCATGAGCACCGCCTGGTGCAGAGATGCTTCTAGGGTGCGGAAAGAGGACACACTCAGGAAAATGAAATTATTTGAAGAAACAAATAGGCCATGTATCAGGAAACATTCCCTAGCTGGGAAGTGGTTGGACCAATGAACAATCTCTCCAGGGAAGTGGTGAAAGCACCAGACTAGAAAACAATTCTGTACTGATCAAGAAGCAAGCTAGCCTACTAGCCAATGCAAGGAATGGTGTACTTGAGCAGAAGGGGTCAAACGGGGCATTCCCCCAGTCTCAGAAATGCTCTGGGGGCAGGCACTAGAGCACACGCAGTAACCCACCAGCGTTCAAGGAATGTGAAGCCCTTTCCATAGATTCCAAGACCAGTTGGGGCCATTATGACCATCTAGTCCAGAGATGGGCAAATACCAGCCTGCAGGCTGGATCTGGTTTCTTGTAACAACCTTTTAGGTCCTTGAAAACTGCTAGTATGTCCCCCCTCAGTCTTCCCCTTTCCAAACTAAACAAAATAATTTCTTTCAGTCTTCCTTCATTTGTCATGTTTTCTAGACCTTTCATCATTTGTATGGCTCTTCTCTGGCCTTTTCCCAGTTTGCCCACATCTTTACTGAAATGTGGCACCCAGAATTGGGCACAGTTCTCCAGATGAGATCTAAACAGTGTGGAGTAGTGGGGAAGAGTTACTACTTGGCTGTGTCTAGACTGGCAAGTTTTTCTGCAAAATCATCTGCTTTTGCGGAAAAACTTGCCAGCTGCCTACACTGGCCGCTTGAATTTCCTCAAAAGCACTGAGGATCTCATGTAAGATTGTCAGTGCTTTTGCAGAAATACTATGCTGCTCCCGTTTGGGCAAAAGTCTTTTTCCGAAAAACTTTTGCGCAAAAGGGCCAGTGGACAGCTGAGATTTCTTTTCCGCAAAAAAGCCCCGATCGCAAAAATGGCGATTGGAGCTTTTTTGCGGAAAAGCGCGTCTAGATTGGCCACGGACGTTTTTCTGCAAAAAGTGCTTTTGCGTAAAAGTGACCTGCCAATCTAGACGCACTTTTCTGAAAATGCTTTTAACGGAAAACTTTTCCGTTAAACATTTCCGGAAAATCATGCCAGTGTAGACGTAGCCCTTGTGTCTTTCTTACAGCAAGTGGTGGTATCTCTATCGCTGGAGATATTTAAGACAGACATCTATCAGGGATGATCTAGACAATGCTTGGTCCTGCCGGGAGGGCAAGAGACTGGACTTGATCTCTCGAGGTCCCTTCCAGTTCTAGTGTTCTATGATTCTATGAACACTCTTGTTAATGCATCCCAGAATGATGTTTGTCACACTGTTAACCCATATTTAGCTTATGGTCTGCGATAGCCCCCAGATCCTTTTCTGCAGTACTCCTTCCTTAGCAGTCATTTCCCATTCTGTATGTGTGTAACTGACTGTTCCTTTCTAAGTGGAGCACTTTGCATTTGTCCTTATTGAATTTCATCCTATTTACCTCAGACCATTTCTCCAATTTGTCCAGATCATTTTGAATATGACCTTATTCAACAAAGCACTTGCAACCCCTCCCAGCTTGGTATTGTCAGCAAACTATATAAGTGTGTACTCTATGCCATTGCCTAAACCACTGATAAAAATATTAACCAGAACTGGACCCAGAACTGATCCCTGCGGAACCCCACTCATTATGCCCTTCCAGCATGATTGTGAACCATTGCTAACTACTCTCTGGGAACAGTTATCCAACCTGTTATGCACCCACCTTATAGTAGCTCCATCAAGGTTGTATTTTCCTGGTTTGTTAATGAAAGTGCAGTGCAAACACTCAATGTAACCATATCATCAGGGGTACAAATGTTAAATGAGATTAATACAAGCATTTTGTAAATTCTAAACACTGAACACATTTTTATAAATCTAATACCTGTTTTAATAATATTCACCCATGAGTGAACCAGACTGCTCTCCAGTTATGCATTTGTCAGCATTCAGTGGAGCCTCAGAGCCTTGTCATGAGCTGCCAAAGTCACATGCACCATTAGTTCAGTAATGTGATCTGAATCAAACCAACCCCAACCTTTGGGAGATCTGGTCTTTGTCATTCTCATTTGTACAGGGTGTGTACTAGAAACGTGCAAAACATTAGCAGTGAAACCTGAAAGCTGCTGTCATTGGGCTGGCTTTGTTGCAAACTCAACCCTCAGTCTGGCATCACTAAGTGGTCTGATAATGTCCCTGATCCTTCCTTGCGAAGGTCTTACCCGTTTTTATGTGGAATTGGATTGAATTATGGCTTTATGCCTGAATCAGATGTGAATGGGGTTTCATGTGGGGTCACCCTAATCTAAGGCCTTGTCTACACTAAGGGTTTGCCCAAATTTCAGCCATAGTGGTCACAGCAGGCCAACCAATAGCAATTCCGAGCCCCAGGAAAGAACAATCATTGGGCCCCTCACACAAGCACAGCCACACCTATGCAGACACAGTCCACCTGACATTTGGGTGGCTCAACCTCCATCACCCCCATCACTGCAATAGCTGGGCACTTCCAGAAGACCATTAAGCAGCCTAATGAACTCCTGTCTCCCCTGCTGTCACTTAGGGGGGCGGTTTTGTATGCCATGAGGTGGTTTGTGCTGGTGTGGTTTGGGGCTTTCATTTTAAAATATCCATTGTACTCTGCACTCGTGTGAGACAGCATGTCAGAGAGAGGCACCTGGCACGGGCAGCAGAAGGTGGGAGGACTGGGGATGGCTCAGTTCCTGGAGTGGCTTGGAGGGGCTCCCAGGAAAGTTCTGACTCTTGCACAGATGAGCTTTGTTCCGTTAGGCGTGAGGCATGGAGGTGTCAGTTTAGAACAGAGAGACTCTGACTCAATGTTAACTCCATTGGCATCTCTTTGGTGCTTATCTCGCCCTCAGCCTTCACACTACCTCTTACTTTTGGAGGACTGGTAGACTAAGTGCCTGCTCCAACCCCCATCAAAGTCAATGGATCAGGCCCTAAGGGTATGTCTACACGGTATAGGAAGGCTACTCTATGCTAGAATCACTATAGCAGCGCAGCTGTCCTGCAGCTGATTCAGATGCTCTCTGTCATGGGAGAGAGCTCTCCTGTTTGCAAAATAAATCCACCTCTGCCAAAGGCAGTGGCTATGGCAGCAGGGGAGCACAGCACTGTCCGCACTGGTGTGTAGGTCAATGTAACGTACATGGCTCGGGGGTAGCTTTCTCACACCCTTGAGCATCAGCAGTTATACCAATGTAAACATGAGTGTCACAAGCCCTCCGAGCGAACCTCAGCCTCATGCCACACATGGTGGGGATTAGGCTTGCACGTAAAAACAACTTTTGAGATGTTTCAGCTCAGGCTAGAGCTCAGGCTGTCTAAACCCCTCAGCACTTAGAACAGCGGGAGCAAAGCTGTAGTCTGGACACTGACATAGTTAGGTCAACATATACTGCCTTCTCTGACCCAACTCAAGGTCAGGCTTGATGTTGCATTGTTCCTTTTTTTCACATGTGCATATAATTCACATCTCTTAATGTCCAGCCATTCAGTTGTTCCAGTATAATCCCAGATCAACAAGACCCGTAACTGGATTTCCAAAGGTGATATTGAATTATAAATTAAAATAAGCGCTTCACATCAGTATGCTCTCCTGCTCAATTAGAGTGATGGTGTCCTTAGTAAACAGAATGGGCAAATTAAGCCTTGGTGTAATGTCATTGGGTTCAGAGGAATGAATTTGAACCAGTATATGTTAGAGTAAGATGAGACCTCTGTAATTGCACAGCAACCTATTATATTTAAACCTTTATGGGTAGCTACCTAGGGCTAACATAGGTTGCTTTACTCAAGTGAGTTTCCCGTTAAGTCAAGTGGGTAAGATGGAACAGAATTTGATCCCTAGAGAATACAAGATTGTAAATTGGTTAGTTTATTCTCTCATGGCCAAATCCTGATCTCAGTCAAGTTTAATTAGCATTAAGAATTGGTGTTGAAATCTACATTTAGATGAGCAGTAAGCTCAAGTTTGATTGCAAGGCTGAATCCAGGCTGGGCTGGAATCTGATGGCCCTGAAATTCAGCCATTGTTCTTGTGGGAGTTCGGCCGCAGATGAGTCCCTTGCAAATGTGAGCCTAGGTCAGAACCAAACTACAAGGGGGGTCTTCGGGCCGTAGGGGGTCAACGTTTAATTCTGTGCCTTTCAAAACCTTACAGTGTTTGGATTAAAATACTAGCTTCTGGTCAGCACAATAAATCCTCCTTCTAAATGTGTGCTCCTGGGAAAGGACTCATTACCAGTGTGACAAGCTATTTTACAGGCCCAGAAAGGTCACCTGTAATCTCAGTAGAAGTAACACTCAAATGCTTCATAGTGATCTCCCCTTCCCAGAAGGAGCGTGATCTAAAAAGCCTGGCAAAGTCTGTTAACCATGTGTGTTTTTCGGCCTCTTTCTCAGCTTCTCGCAGAAGACTGGCCATTTGGCGTTCAGGTGTGCAAGCTGGTTCCCTTCATTCAGAAGGCATCTGTGGGCATCACCGTCCTCAGCCTCTGTGCGCTCAGCATAGACAGGTAATGAACTTGCTGCCAACACCAGGTTCTACGCCCAGGTGAGTTTAATCCTAGTGCAGCCCTTTGCTGCCTTCAGGGCAGCTCAGTGAAGAGTGGATGACATGACTGGCCTCCCTCTCACTTCCCCTGAAGACAGCTTCTCCAGCCCCCCAGTGGTTGGTCAGCCTGATCACATTTAGTACCCGCTCTGGGGGCAAAGAAAGTCCAATAAACTAAACTCAAATCAACAGAGCTCTTCACCTGACCTGGGCCCTGTAGAGTTGTCCTCGAGCTCTCGGGCAGAGAGACACCTCCTAGTGTTTTCTCCCTGGCTCCAAACGCAATTGTCCTTCTTCTCCTTATGGCAAGGGGTTCCTGCCCCACCGGTCCCAGAGGGCAGGGAACTCAGGCCTCTCTCCTCCGGGTTGCAGGCCAGGCACCTTGTGGTAAACAGCTGAACTCTGCTCCCTTGGACTCCATGCTCCCTCCCTGGATTTCTCCCTATCTTGGCCCTTCCCGTAGCTCCTCCCTGGGTTGCTTGGCACTTGCCTTTCCCCAGGCCCCTCACCCAGAGAGGGACTGCAAAACTGTCCACCCTTCCCCCTGCAGCCTGCCTTTCATCTGGGATTCCCCCTGGATGCAAAGTACCAATCTCTTCCCCTCAGCTTGGGGCACTGTTTGCTCTTGGACTCAATTAACTCATTACTGGAGGGGGCTTACTGATCCTACATAGCCCCTTCTCCCTCTTGAGCAAATTCAAAGAAGATGCTTAACATGTGAGACTCACTCAGACCCTCTGACACCCACTGACTGATGCCAAAGCAGTGGGCTGACTGACATGCAGGGGAGATGGAAGAAGATGCTCTAAGTCTAAAGCAGGGTTGGAGTTACTTTAATTTGCACCTTCTCTGCCCTCCAGACAGGTGCTTTACTTGTAACTCTTTGCTCCCTGGAGCCTTCCATGTGTGAGTGTGACAGCATGTGGCTTGCATTTGACTCGCCTCCTTACAGCACAGCATGGGCCTGTGTATGTTTTGTCTCAACTAGTCCCCAGTGCCTGGGACCTACCAGCTGTAACAACAGCCCAAAGCACCTGAATCGGGGAAAGGAGGCCTGCAAAACAAAGCTCAAATGGTACAAAACAAAGAATTCTTTTACCAGCCAGGCTACACCGCTGGACTGCGCATGCACACTGGATCTGCACCTAGCAGACACCTACTTCAGATTCACCCATTGTTGTCTTGGCTCAACCCTTTCTGTCAGCAACGCATTTTCTCCAACCAGGCACCAGCTGAGCACCTGGGACTCTTCCCACACCCTGCTGGACTTCCCCTCTTTCAGACCAACCCATTGCTGGTCCAGAAGAGGTGTCTTCCTGAGCCCCAGGCTGGCCTTAGCCCTTTCCAGCAGGGGCTGGAGCTCTCATCCCGTCACTGAGTTGCAGCATGTGCAATGAAGGCAGTAACATTCTGTTGTGTCCGGCAGGTACCGGGCGGTGGCCTCCTGGAGCCGGATCCAGGGCATAGGGATCCCCATGTGGAAGACAGTTGAGGTGATGCTGATCTGGGCTGTAGCTATTGTCCTGGCCATCCCTGAAGCCATAGCTTTTGACATAGTCGAGCTGAACTACCGTGAGCAGCTCCTGTGGGTCTGCATGCTGTCCTCTGAACAGAACTCCAGATTCATCATGGTATGTACGTCACCCCATTCTAGCAAGGAGGAGGCATTCCCCGTTTTGTGCTCACCCCCAGCATGCAGATGGGAATGGATGGGGCATCTCCTTTCAGTGCCAGGGTGGTGATAACGACTGGACCAAGCTCAGCAGAGTGGGTTCACATGTCTCCATGCTACAAAATGCAGGGTGGAGGTTGATACAGAACTTTGGCTCAGCCCATTGTGGGGCCAGAAGACAGGTGGGATCTCAATCTAGAACCACATTTTGCTGAAGTCTGATGATATTCAGATTCAGGTTTTGGATTTGAACTGTTTTCTAACCCCAGCCGCTCAGTCTGGAAGCCTGTATAGAAATCAGGCTGTTTTTTGAGATCTTAGTCATCTCTCCAGGTTTGAACAAGAACAACTTCTCCAATAATTTTGGGAACCTTTTGTTTCTGGATGAAAGCAGGGAGTGCAGATAAGTGGAAACATCTTAAAGTACATTAAAACTGGAAGTATCTGGACTGGACTGTACCACTTGCATTCAGTACAGACACTCACCGGGACTCCAAGTTGGGCTAAATTCAGTGCCGCTAAACATTTTGCGTCTGTAACACAGAAGCACGGAGACAACTGGCAAGGGACCATTAAGTCTCCTCTATAGAATTAGGTTAGAGCCGATTGGGTTTTAGCTCATGGTAGAGGCACATGGCTTAGCCCTTAGTCACAGCTTCAATCCTTTGTATGGCATTACACACATTTGTGTGAAATTCACCAAATTGTTTCTGTTAAACTCAGAGACAAGCCCACCAACAAAACCCTAATTAAGACATTTCATGTTGTCATTTTCAAAATATTTTACATTTCTTTTCATAATTGCTTTATCTCAAATTTTCCTCTGATTTTATTCTTTAAAAAATAAAATATTTAGAAAAGCTCAAAAATCCAAATGGAAACATTTCTTTAGGCTGTTTCAGACTGGTCAGTGCACCAAAGACCCAGTTATTTGCACAGCTTTACCATGACCAATATTATGGGTGTTTACCTGCAAAGAGAAGGAGGAGTGTAAACCTGGTCTGAGCGTCCATTTATGTTGTACTATGATTCTACACAGTGTCTCGGGATGGGGGGAAAAATCTCAAATGAATCATTAAAATGTATCCTCTTCCAGGGTATGAAAGAGCTCTGCATGATATTTTTGTCTTTGATTGCGTCTTGCCTCTGGGTGCTGTATATGATCTGCAGAGATAAAAGAGGTGCTGTTGAAAAGTATATTAAATGGAAATAAACCATTCTCTAGGAGGCCTAATGTAAATATAATCTGATGATTACAAGGATTCATGTACCTGAAGCATCTGCTGTAGGCCCTTGTAAAATCAGGACACTGGGTTGGATAAAGCCTAGGTCTGCCCCAGTCTGGTTATTCATGTTTCCTGTTTGTGTTCTTTCTGTTTTGGGTGTAGTTCTACAAGGATGTGAAGGACTGGTGGCTTTTTGGCTTCTATTTCTGCCTGCCTCTGGCATGCACTGGTGTCTTCTACACCCTCATGTCCTGCGAGATGCTGAGCAAGAGGAATGGCATGAGAATTGCCCTCAATGACCACATGAAGCGGGTGAGGGGATCCAACTTTCTTCCAGGAAGCCCCCAGAGAGAGGGGAGAGCTGCAGCACAAGAGACCATGTAGTGGCCTTAGTGTGAAGTCTAAGGAGAAGGACGTCTCAGTGTAGCTATGGGAACTGACACTAGCGGTGGCCTGGGCCACTTGCTCTGTACAGCCCATCTCAGTTGTATAGAGTTTAAGGCCAGTTCATCTAGTCTAGCCTTCTGCAGACGACAGGCAACTACATTGCACCCAGATCCTTTCTGCTAATACCATAGACTTGAGGAAGTTCTTTGGTCTAACTCAAGTAACTAAACCATTGTGCGCCATGGGCACCAAGGTGCCTCCAATGCCCAAGACCCCCTAGGACCAGACATGCCCAGATGATCCCAAGCTGCTGAGCCAGTTCATCTAGTCTAGCCTTCTGCAGACGACAGGCAACTACATTGCACCCAGATCCTTTCTGCTAATACCATAGACTTGAGGAAGTTCTTTGGTCTAACTCAAGTAACTAAACCATTGTGCGCCATGGGCACCAAGGTGCCTCCAATGCCCAAGACCCCCTAGGACCAGACATGCCCAGATGATCCCAAGCTGCTGAG